ACGCTCCGCTTGGGGAGGCTGGATGAGGGAGGGGTGGGCGGGGACCCTCCCTGCCAGCTCACACCTGGACAGATCCCAAAATCGCTTACTTTAATAGAGGGAAGTGGGGGACAGCAAAGCCTTACGTGACGATTCGCAGGAGGGCGTGCTCTGCGTTACTCTGGGGCCACACAGGTTCTGATACCTGGCTCCCAGCAGCTCACATGGTGGGGTGTGCCGTATCCGGGGAGAAGTAGCCCACGCCGGACGCAGCTCAGGCTTCAGGGACTTAAGTGAGGCCCGGGGAGGGGGGACACAACTGTCCCTGTCTTGTGAGTGACGGAATTGAGCCGAGAGAGACTCTTTCCTCTGCATCTCTGTCTCCCCGTCTCTCCCTGTCTCTGCACCCCCACTTCTCTCACACGCACAGTTCTTAGAAATCCAGAGACCCCCTCCGCACTTTGCTGCTGGCTTCTCTGTCACGAAATGGGCCAATGCTATCCCAGGACCCTGCTGTCCAGGTGAGGAAGGCGAGCCACAGAGACGGGAACCGAACACGGCGGCACGCACGGGGCTTCGCCACCCCCACCCGCACCCATCCCTGTCTCCTGCCTTTGCCGCAGGGTGACGACAGCAACCCGGACCCCCACATCCCTGCTTCTGTCCCCAGCCTCCTCCTCCAGGACCGGTAGGAGTCACCCAGCTGCTGTCGGAGGAATGCCTGCTTCTGCCTGCTCACTCCGCGGTCCCTGGGTCACAGACAGGGCCACCACCTGCCTCTGCCCACTCACTCCGCGGTCCCCGGGTCCTGTACGGGGCCACCACTCCAGACTCTTGAGGGACAGCCGTGATGACGGGAGCAGAGCTTTCTGTGAGCTATTCCCAGTTGGAGTCCCACCTGGACGGAAGGCCACCCAACGTGCTTCCATCTACGATCTCTAAGCCACAAGAGTCACCCGAACCTTCAGGATTCTGCAGAGGGGATGGCAAGTGACGGCCACACAGATGCTCGGCGGGGACGGGCCAGAGCCGGGAGGGGCCGCGGGGCCGCCCAAGTCCACACGCCGCGGCCGGGGGACGATTCCGTGGGACGAGAGTGCGGCTGGCCACAGGGTGGGCTTGGCTGTGTGGCCGTCGGGTCTGCATGAGCGGCGGCGACTCTGGTCCCATTTGCCAGACGAGGAAATGAATAAGAGGGAATTTGTACACATGCAACCGTACACGCCGCCACACAGATCCACACAGTACTGCCACACAGTCACAGAGGACCACGCTAAGATGCACAGTCATCTATAACCACACAAGCACGATGACACGGCCACCCAGTCTCAGGCGACGTCACACCTGGCCGGGGCCACAGGCTTGGGGCCGGGGGGTCCGCGCCCCACAGGGGAAGACAGATCTGCGACCCGGCCACCACCACCTCCTGTCAGACATTGCGTCCCATGGTCACGGCGCCCCAAATGTGGAGCGCTTGTGCACCCGGGTTTACAGAGGCTGCTCTTCACAATCCCCAGAAGTGGGGCCGACCAGGGCCGGGGGCCTGTGGGGTGTGAGCACGCATTCCCCAAGCCTTTGGCCCCTGGAAGCCCAAGCCTCCCCCTGTGGGTCCCGGGAGCTGGCTTTGACCCCCTCACAGCGTGATGGGGACCCTGTAAGGCCATTGCAACCAGGTGGCGGGCTTAGGCATCCTCCTGATCAGGCCGCGGGAACTTCCAGGGGTCACCCGTGTGCCCAGGATGGCTTTCCTGCCTGCGAACTTGAACCCACGACGGCCCCTTCCCCAGGCAGAGACGACCCCACCGCCGGTTTCAGGCCTATGAACGCAGCCTCTCCAAACCCCTACCCCCAAATCCTTGCTGTTTGTTCAGTCACCGGTCACCCCCGGCTGGGACCAGGGGCAGGGCGGGAAGAGGGGCTCCACACCCGACAGGGCGACCCTCGCCGCCGCTTCCGGCCGCCCCCGCCCCGCCAAGGCTCCTCTAGCCTCGCGAATTGGCAGAAAGGTCGGGACACCGCCGTCGGGGAGGGCTGGCCCTGGGGCCGCGCCAGGCCGTGACCTGCCGCGTCTACCCCGCGGCCCCATTCACGCACCCCAGCGCGTCTACACAGCCCGTCTGCGAACTGACGGCCTGTCCCCGCGTCTACACAGCCGGCAGCATTCACACAGCCCGGCCGCGCGTCTCCGAAGCCGCGTCCACACGGCGCCGCCCCGGCCCCCTACAGGAGGGGGCGCCGCGCCCCGCGGACCCCGACTCACCGCGCTGCGCCCGAGCGGCTCCGCGTCCTGCCTGGCCTCAGACCCG